ACATTTTGCTACAAAGAGGGAGGGGGTTGTTGGAGAGGGGCGACAGGGGGAAGGGATGGGGAGGGGGTTACAAGTCCGCTAAATGTTCGAACATAAAGTGGGAATTTAAAACTAAGAAAAAAGAAAAAGAAACAAAAACTGCTGGGGTGGGAATAGAAAAAGAACATTTTAAGCTCTGTCTTCCAGGGTCGGTGCTACTGACTGAAGTGTCTTTAGTCCATTCCCAAAGGGGGGCCATGTTCTTATGCACAGTAGAATTGTAAATTGGCTGATTCATCAATGTCATGCTCATAACTGTGCCTGAACTGCAACAGGAAACTGCTACTTTACTTATTCTTTCCTAATCCTTACTATCGTCATTTTCCTCTACTTCTTTTGCACGTTTATCACACTCTTGTGACCCGCTATATTTCCGGGGTGCCTTGATGATAGTCGAAGCAGACTTTGTGCTGTTGAAGCTAGAGAGGCGAGCAGAGTAAGCCCGATTCCATGTGTAAAGACTTCTCTGTTGACACCCACCCCTTGGCGGACATACGACCGTATGCAGTTGCAAGCGCCGTGAAAACTCTACTAATAGTACTAAAACTATAACTGTCTTTCAGGGCCAACCACGGCTGAGTGGGGCACACCATCCTTGCAGAAAGATGGAAGTAGCCTGCTCCCAAACCCCCCGGGCAGTGCCACTGACTATACTATAGTGTCTTTAGGCCATTCACAATGGGGGGACATTTCTCGGTCAAGCACAGTAGAATTGTAAATGGGCTGATTCATCATGTCACGCTCATAACTGTGCCTGATCTACAACAGGGAACTGCTGCTTTTTCTTTCCTATTCCTTACTATTGTCATTTTCCTCCATTTCTTTTGTATGTTTGTCACACTCTTGAGACCCGTTATTTCCGGGGTGCCTTGACAGTCAAAGCAGACCTTGTGCTGTTGAAGCTAGAGAGGTGAGCAGTCTAAGTCTGATTCCCTGTAAAGACTTCTCTGTTGACACCCACCCCTGGCGCTCAAATGACCTTATGCAGGTGCGAGCGCCGTAAAACCCTCTACTATAAAATAAAAAAATACTCCCAAGAAACAGACTTCCTAGGAGTAATATCAATCTTTGCAAACGTAGGTCACTCCATATGCGCCGCTAACGTCATTTTATTATTAGCGGAAGAATAACAATAAAAATAGTTCATCCGTCAATGTCTGACGATGAACAATACGTCTGCAGAGGAGAATATTTCTCAAGAAAAAAATAGAAGAACAAGAAGAATTAAAGGTTAACCTGACTAGTGGCTTCTGCTGTGACCGATGAGTATGAGAAACGTTTTTTCATATATTTTGAACATTAATCTAAGCTCCGCTACCACTTGTGGATGTGCGCAGCTTGCGGGCTTCCCTCTAGAGAGAAGAGAGTTTTTAAAAAGTTTTAGTAAGAGTTTTACGACACAACAAGGTCATATAAGTGCCTAAGAGTAGAGGTGTTACAAGAGAGTAACAAACACAAAAAAGAAGGTGGAGAGATCAGGACAATAGGTGTTTGATAGGAAAGAAGGAGCAAACCACACTAGGGCACCCGCCAACCAACCACGAGATTTACATGTAGTTTAGTCTAGTAAGAGTTTTACGGCGCCTGCAACTGCATAAGGTCATAAAATGACTCATGAGCGCGCATGAAGAGAGATTAGGAATATGATAAAACACAAATAGTCACAGGCCTACATTGTACAGGGCTACGCCTCATCTTGGCCAAGCTCCTTCTCAAATGACAACCATCATCCAACACACCAGAACACCATATTATCGTTTGCCTTAGTAAGAGTGAGAGTTTTGCGGCACTAGCAACACAATTAGAAGGTCACATTAGGTGCCACAGATTGGAGGTGTGACAAGAGAGTAACACTAAAAAAAAAGGTGAGATAAGGACGATACATTTTTATATGAAAGGAGCAAGCCACATCAGAGCACCTATAACCAAAGATTGCTATAACCAACTACCAACGAACACAATATACATGTATTTAATCAAATTAATAGAATCATCATTTTTTGTGCACACAGCGAAAATGAAACGTAGCAAGCTTTTTTAAATATATGTGGGTGGTTGGCGGATGCTCTGGTGTGGTTTGCTTTTTCTTTCCTATCAATCCCATTATTCTATTGTTCTCATCTTTCACCTTCCTTATGTTATTCTCAAATAACACCTAAAGCTCTAATATGTTCCTCACATTATTTTATTATTATTATTATCATTATACCAAACTGGTCTCCTCAACAGACAAGTCGAGTATTGAATCAGCTTGAGAAGCTCTCCCTCTCAATACATGGCAGGAATAGG